TATTTATGTAAGTGACTAGTCACAGACTATTAATTTTATTATCACTTGACCTTATCGTTTATATTACACTAAACTTTCCATCCAAATGTTTGAGAGATGTGGAACTTGCAGTCGCAAATTTTCATGTCCCTGTGTTTCATTTTTGTGGCCTTTGTAGTTGACTCCAACCATGATTACTGAAGTTAATGGCACATTCTTCTACCTGTTTTTAGATAGGAAACACATGAAAACTATAATCTTACATTTGACTATAAATTTATTTAAATTGATTTTGGAAATATTTATATTTTATGATTGTATAGCTTTTACACTTGCCTCCCACTCAGAAGATTGAAAATTCAATACTAGGTATCGACAGACGTTTATCTCCTAGGGCACAAAGAAAAAATATCTGCTGTGAACTCTTATGGCATCAGGAAAGGCATCCAGCTAGTAAATGCTCAGCTCCATCCAGTTGACTCTACCCTGAATTAAGGGATTACGAGGGGTTTTTTAATGTTGTAAGGTGCCATGAGGCAATAGATGGCAAACAAAGTTAATAAAAATAATAAAATAATCTTATCCAAAAACACAAAATGTCTTCATATGTAACATTTATAGCATATTAACAGGGCAATACAAAGCATATTTATTGCCAAGTATGCCTTGGAGTATAAACTACTTTGCCAATTTTAATTAATTTTTTAGCCATTGTAAAACTCTTGACAAATTTATAATGTGCTATTTAGACAATGCTTTTACAGTTTTCTCTATTAATAATCATATTAAATCAGTTCCTAGTTTTCCAGAACACTGTTTTTCACAGCTGATTTGGTTAGGCAAGTAAACCATGATGTCTCAGTGAATGGCTATAGAGCCATCAGTCCTGAGTTTTCATTGTTTCATTGTAGTTCTTACTTTAATCTTTATCAAATCTTCATTACAGTCATAGACCAGCATAAATTCTTGTACATGCTTTCCAAAACTTGCCAAAATTGCGTTGATGTGTGGTCACCTTATTTCAGTTATGGAGCCTAGTTTTAATTATTTGCCCCACTAGAAAATCCATACAAATAAATGCAAGAGACTCTCTTGATATGTACTGAATGTTAGGTTCCAAGTAATGCATCCATCACAAACTGAACTCCGAGGCATTCCGTTTTCTCAAAGTACAAATTGATTTAGATACACCATATTGGCACTAACTGGTGAATCTAAATAAATTCGCACAATATGCTTTACCTGGGTACTGAATTAATCCTTTAGGCTCACATAATACATTGAAACAAACTAGTGACACAGATGAGGTCACCCACACACACTAAGCCACAAAATAACTAATCAAAACAATCGTGAAGCAAACTTGGCATGTTACGTAAATGCATCTGCCAAATCCTGAAGTGAATTGGTGAAGCAAGTTGGTGAAGATAGTCTATATTCTCAAGCTCTAAATTTATGATCTTTTACTTTCAGGAAACAGACTTTTTATGGAACTGATCTGAGGCCATTCTATTCCCATCCTTCTGCTTACTATAGCATAAATCTGTCTGTTGACTCCTGAGCAGCTTCAGGGAGCAGAGCTACGGAGTAAATGTAATAAGAGTTTTTTTTTAAATAAGTACTAAGCTCTGAGGGCATCAGAGCTCTCGGCTTCCAAACTGCAGAGTTCAATTTTATCTGCTCTCTTCAGACAGTTACCTCCCTCTGTCCCCACAGCTTCTAGCTCACTGGCAACCTTTACCAAGCAGCCGTAAGGGCCCTGCTGTTTTGAAGAGAACTTGGGAGCATCTGCCTTCTATTCCACCTGACAGAGACCCTCACGCACACCGCCCCCCAAGGAGACACTCATGTTTTCTACCCTCCCAGCTTCGTCCGTGATGATTTCCAACGCTATGAGGTGGATCTCACCCATGTGGTTTTGCATCTGGCATGCAGCTTGCCCGCTTCAACGGTGATCAGCAACACAGCCACTGGCACCCGCACGATCCTGCACGCTGCCAGGTGCGTAGGGTAAGAATTCCTCGCAGTGAAGTTCTAATTTTTTTCTCTCTCTCCTCTTCCCTGGCCCCAAGCTTCATCTTGTCTGACTTCCAACGGCGCAAAGTGGAAGTTGCCCACTTGCTCTGGCAGAGCCAGGGGGAGACACCGTGTGCCTGCTGCCTCATCAATTGCCGCAACGGTTCTCGGACAGTTACTCTTTATGACACGTAAGACCTGGCCCACTTTGGCTCTGCTGCCTCCAACCTCCCTCCGCCCTCTTCTACCAATGGGTGGCACAAAAGGACTCTCAGCACTCCAGTAGAGACTAAGGTAGCCTTGACTGCTGTGTCTGGTGGGTGAGGATTTGGCCTGCTACAGCAACTGTTTGTTTCAGGGAGAGATTACAAAGAATATAACTATGTTTATACCATTGCCGTAAATGGTTTAATAGGCCCTTCCTAGCGTCCCAGATTAGCTGCTTGCACACACAGTGGAGAAGCAGGTTCATAAAATTGCATTGTTTGTTTATGGCTCAAGCTTGCCTAGATTTTCATTTCTTTCTTTCTCTTCTAAACTGCCTCTTCTCCCCTTTCATCCAAGTCATTAATAAAAATGGTAAAGGCCTCAGGAAATAGCTGTGTGGCATTCCACTTGATACCACTCTCCAAGCTGATGGGCAGCTGCTTATGTGTAGCACTGGGGTGTAATTACTGGGTTAATAGTTGCATCATTTCGCCAATATTACACCACTTTATTAATGAGGATATCACGAGAGTTGATGGAATCCTGATGTCCAGATCTATTAAGCAAATGTGAGAAATGGGGTAATTCTGTGAGAAAAGGAGATAAGGTTAATCTTGCTTATGACAAGCTCATGCTGACTGCTATTAATTCTTGCACTCCTGCTAAGTGCTCATAGGCATGATGTTTAAAATCTGCCTGAAGATCTTGCCCAGTATAGAGAATGGGAAGTAAGTAAGTAAGATCTTTATTACAGTCAAGGACCAGCAATATACATTTGTTTTTACACTATATTAAAAATACTAACATTAAAATATACTTTAAAGTATTTACATTAGAAGTGGATAATAACATTATGGTCCAAAGATTGTTAAAGGTATGTCCAGATAATTGNAACTGCCGACCTTTCTGATCGACAAGCTCAGCGTCTTAGCCTCTAAAGTTTCCCTAATGAAACTTTAAACCCCTTTATTTGTGTCCTTATTGTCTCTGGATCCTAAAAACCAATTGCCTGGGACCCAATCACTGCTCTGACACTTGCTGGTTCAGGCTTGGCTCATTTCCTGTTGAGATCTGCTAGGGCTTTAAAAAAACAATAAAGATTTTTTTTACTACATTTTCAGGTTCTTATACTCCAACCATGAGGTTTAAAAGCATTTTCTGATGCTAAGCAAAGTTGGGCTTGCTGGTTCGTGAGTGGAATTTATGCCTGGAAATATTCCATGCCTGTCTGTCTACTGCTTAATTGGCATAACAGGAGCAAGGCAGGCTGTAAAAATCACAAGCATCAATTTCCAAATTTAGCATAACAGAATGAATCTATCCTGAAAGACAGCAGTTATACCCATATCAGCACCAACAACAGAAACAAGCCTATAATCCATTACAAGAGCATTTCATTTTGTCCATGTCCAGGAACATCTCTGATTGATGGAGAGGAAACTATATATCTCTGCATTGGGTTTGCTGAATTCCAGTGATCCTCAGTATTCTCTGCCACATAAAATCTGTGCCTAGCATAATTTCCAAAGAGAGCTAGATGGGGGCAACTCGTATTCTGGTTCTATTTGGGAGAACAAGCCTACGCAAGAGAGCTCTAAAAACCCTGAACTGTCTCCAGTACACTGCAAATCAGTGTAAAGGAGACCCCCAAAACACAACTGGATTGTCTTTCTTCTTTTCTTGATGGGAACAGAGGAAAGGGAAACCATCCAGCACAACCTCAGCCATCTAACTGTACGGGGCAAGCTGGAGATTTATGTTATGTAGGCTTCCAGTTTTACTACATAATAAGAGACTTTGCATGAGGGGTTTCAGACTGACCGCAAGATTAAAAAGTGAAAGCAAAATATGAGAGAGGCCACGTTGAATCAGATAACATCTCAAACTATTGCATAAGAAACCACCACCTTTTACTTGTCTGTCAAGGCCAGGCTTGCTGTGATCAAAAAGGTGGTTTTTAGAGGGAAATGGTGATCGATTATCCTTTGCATTTTAATGGAACTTGAGGGGTTAACTTCAAAGAAGGTGGAAAAATAACTACTGACTCAAAGTAAAAGTTCTGCCTTCCAGCAGAATAATTTGAAAGAGACAAATAGATAAGAGAAGCTGCACCTTTTCTGCAGCCCAGCCGTCTGCTTTCAAAAGATGTTTTCTCTTTGGTGAAAGATATCCAGGCAGCTTATATAATTTGTTTTGCTTCCTTTATTTGCTCTGACAACCTTTCTCTCAATCTGTAAAATTAGCTGTGGTGGTAGACTCAAAATTTATGTTGTTTTTGTTATGTGTTGTTGTTTTCTCAAATAATCCTTTCTACTTTGTTTGTTGGAACATCTTTTCCAACTTCAAAAGGACTGTAGCACTATGGCAGGGGTCAGCAATCCACGGCTCTGGAGCCGCATGTGGCTCTTTCATCCCTCTGCTGCGGCTCCCTGTCACTGGTTGGATCCCCAATTGATAGGGTTTTCCGTTAGGACAGGTAGAAGAAAAAGGATGCCACACTAGGAGGAGACTCTATGGTGTGGAGAACCGACTTAAGATCAGCAGAGGAAAAAGGACATCATGCTAGGAGGAAACTATGATGTGGGAACCAGATTTTCGTTCGGCTCCAGAACTAAACAGGGGACTTCCAGTTAGGACCTTTGTGGCTCTTTGAATGTTTAAGATTACTGCCCCCTACACTGGGGGAACTCTTGCATTGCTAGCATTGTAACCCCTATTTTTAAATGTGTGCTTAAAACTAATCTCTTGTTTCCTAGAGCGAGGAGCTATCAACATGCATTATGTAGTAAAGTTCTTACCCTGTTCCCTTGTCATGGTAGCAGTATCCGCATTCAACTGCCCAATGTTCTCCAGATAGTCTTGGAGCACCCTGGAACAGACCAAGCCATCATCCATTATGTTGCCATGATGGAACAAACCACAGCACGGAAACATTGACCGACTCGCAGGACAAGATAGCAACCACTGCAACAGAGAATACTGTAGCTCTCAAAATCAGTGTGTAGGAAAATGGGCAGTCAAAGCTATTAGGGTGGCCAATCCTTTTTCTTGGACACTTGCCCAGTCTCAATAGTGCAGAGAGGACACTCTTCAAAGGTTTAGATAAGTTTTTAATCCCTGAGTTCAGCCAACATAGTAAATCCTAAATCTGAAGGAACAAAATGCAGCTGCTGTGTTCATACCCCATGCTATGCTCAAATAAATAAAGGATGTGTTCCTACCTAATACCTAAGGTAATAGTTGGGGCCCCACAACTTGCTAAACTATAAGTTCCCAAACTCCCATTTTAGCCTAGATTAGGAAGTAGTTTAAATCCAGCTACTATATGCCTGGTAGATTAACATGTTGGTAGGCTATGGCCAAGGCCAACCAGATCTAAAAAGTCCCCAAGTCCAGTTGCAATACACAGATTACTTGATGTAGAGATGGAATCTTTCCCCACTATTTTAGAGAGAACATGGAAAAGGAATGTCCTGGGATGGAAAGGGAAAGGGACAGAAAGACAATTAGCCAACCATTTTCCAAATTTTGGACCGCTTGGATCTCAGTCTGTCGTATGTAGCAAAAGGCGGAATTTTGGGAGAGGCACCCCTGTTGGATGACCTGTACTTACTTTAGAGAAACTTGGCTTGGGTGCAGAGGATTCAGGATGGGTTGATCCATGGAATCGTTGGGGATCTCAGGCCTAGAAGACATAGTTGGGGGGCAGGAGGGGGGCAGGTACAAAGATGTTTAATCACCTCTGGTGAACGGAAAATGGATTGTAGACCCATTTTCAGCTCTGATGGCTCCTTTAGGAGACAATTTCCTGTCCACCTCTGTGTTCACCGAAACCCTCATCCCTTACAACTTGGTGGTTACCTGCCACTGCTGTTCTTTGGTGCTGCCCATTTGGCCGGCACAAGGAAGAACCAAACTGCTAGAAATAGCCCCTTCATTCTGGTCCTGGTGGGCAGGGACGAGACACTTCAGTTCACGTTCTGCAGGACACAGGAGGTAGAAATATCTCTCTGGAACGGAGACCGTTCCCTGCAATGAGAGAGATGTCTATGGCACTTCATGAACACTGAGGCTACTGTTGCACACTGTGGGCTCACAACAACAAAGTTTCCAGCCACAGAAGACAGACAGTATCATAACCCCGTCCATCTGGAAGAAAAGTTGGTCTGCTCTGATTTGCCACCAAGCGCAGCTATGCTACCTTTAAGAACAGTCAGCCCATAATTCACATCCTTAGTACATTTTACTAAGCTGAATTAAGCAAGGAAGCAATGTTTCATTCTCCCTTCCCACACATTCCAGGTCACCTCACCCCTTTCATGCTGCTCCCACATCACTTGTCAGAAGATGGGGTGCAGCGGTAGCACAGATTCTAGCACCACATTCAGCTGCAGCTAAGGGGAAATACATTTCTCAGGGTGTCCGCTCTCCCGTCATTCATTGCAAATAGAAAACTAAGCCACTACTAGAGAGACAGATTGCAGCAGATCCCTTCAGTTACTCCATTAGTTTCTCCACATTTTGCTTTAAAGTAGATAGAAACGGTTTAAAAAAGCATGTCTGACCTGCAGGTGGACGTGGCAACAGTCTTCCCTATCTTCTCCCACTGCTAGTGCTCCAGCTGCAGGGAACGCAGCCAGCGAGGGGGGGGGGGCAAATTAGCTTGTTTAAAAAATGCAAAGATTCACCAATAGGGAGGGTGTGTTTTATAGAAACCATTCTCATGAATAGCGAGGGGGGGGGGGGAATCTAGTGCCCAACAGCTCTTGCCTCCACTCCTGCCCTCAAGGACTTCGGGCCGGAGAGTCCGGGGATGCCATCCTCCCTCCCCCAGTCCGTTGCACACCCATTCTGCAGGGCAGCCCTCACCCTCTGCGGGGCAGGGCGTGGCGCAGCAGCTGGAAGCAGCGCCGTGCAGCATGGATCTCCTCCTCCAGTTACCAAATTCCAGGCAGCGCGGATCCGCGTGTGGGGTTTGGGCGAGGTGAGGAGGAGGAGGCGTAGAGAGAGGCCTTCTCTTTCTTCTCCTGGCGCAGTCGCTTCGTGGCGCCGGTTGGTGCCCATCGGCCGCAGTCTCGGGGCCACGTGGCGGAAAGGCGGGTGCTGGCTGACACGTTCATTCCCGCCTCTCTCCCCATTCCGAGTTCCAGTATTCCTCTAGGGCAGCTTTGCTTTGTTGCTCCCCGCCGCGCTCTTTGCACGCCGGTCCGTGGGGAGGATCTAGAAAGCGCTGGGAACCTCAAAGGGAATCGCTCTTCCCAAAGGGCCTCCGGAGGGATCTCGTCGTGTTTCCTGGATGGGGGAAAGGAGAGAACATGCGGGAAGCGTCTTTTCCCCCACTTCCCCAGAGCTCCTGAGATCATCACTCCGCGGTATGCCTGCCCTACAGAAGGAGCCCTGATAAAATCCCTTTTGCAGTTCCTCTCCCACAGAAGACTCCATCCTCTGCTTTTGAACTCAAGAGCCACGGGTGGGAGGGTGGGTGATATTAAGAAAGGAAGTTTTATTTTTGAGTAATAGTGCTGTTAGGGCTGGAGGGCTGGCTCATGTTCAGAATCCCCACACATACCTATCCTATGCCATATCCACATCCTTTACAAAATTTGTAAAGGAATGCAATGCAAACCTAAGCTATAGATAGATATAGGAGAGAGAGAGAGAGAGAATTATATACTATATAACTTTGGGAAGAGCGATTCCCTTTGGGACGAAACATGAACACTCACAAAAGCTGCAAGTGGCATAAAGAGCCATGGAAAGATACTTGCTCAGCATTAGAAAGGCCTGTGCATGGATTAGAGAAGGAACAAAAGTATACGATATCATCAAGTGAGTAAAAGAATTGAAAGCAAAATGGGCTGGTCACATAGCAAGAAGAACTGGTGGCAGGTGGACAAAGGCAGGTGGACCAAGGCAGTCATAGAATGGATCTCAAAAAAGTGTTCACGAAAGAGACCTAAAACAAGATAGATTGACAACATCAGCAAGTATTGAGGGCCCAATTGGCAAAAGAAAGCTCAGGACCTTATTGGTTGGAATCAGGCGGAAGAGGCCATCGTGCAGTGGATAGACAGTGGTGGTGGTGGTGATGATGAGGATGATAATTCTTTATTGTCAGTGCACAACATATGTACAATGAGATTGGATGAGCTCCCTCAGTGCATCCCCCCAACACAATACAACTCACAATGATGAAGACGAAAGAAAGAAAAAAATATCCCTAACCCAATAAATCATATTAACAAACACCCAGTCTCATTACACCAATGTGAACATGTTACATGTTGCGCTGGCCCTACAAGTCCATCCTACTAATTATTTATGATGTTATTTTGCATTCAAGAGAATGATGATGATGATATACACTATATATGTAGTGTATAGTTCAATCTCCCTATATATATTAAACTATACATTACATTCCTTTACAAATATATGGATGTAGATAAATTTGTAAAGGGATATAATGCAAATCTAAGCTGTAGTTCACTGTCTAATCTATCCATCCATCTAATTATGTATCATCTATCTAACTAAAGCTTAGGTTTTACATTCCTTTACAAACTTTTAAGTATTTGAAAGAAAAAATGGGGAGGAAGTGATCCTGCAACTATGCCATCCAGTGATGTAAGAAGAGAGCATGTTACTCATGCTTTGTCCCTTATAAAACTATGGCCATCACCCTGTTGCCCCTTCCCAGAGGTCCTCTTATTTGCAACAATTGAGCAAGCCAACAACTATCTGGCAGTTCAGATTCAATAAAAGAACATCTGCCTACTTCAAATAATTCCTGGTGATTTCATGGACCATCTACAAGGCTTTCTTGGCAATACTATAAAGTGGTTCGTCATTGCTTTTTCCTCCCTTCCCAATTAGCCTGTAACTCTTGAGATTTCTTTCTTCTGTTAAAAGGCCATCTCATCCAATAAGATGACCCTATGTTTATGACATGCTGCCATCTAGTGATAGTGCGGTAGTATTCATTAATTCTTTACCCCCAGAAACACAGTTGGCCAGATATAAATAACAGAATATCAAAATATTTTAAACTTAAATATCAATTGGAGTTGTAATTTTTACAGCTATGCTCAAATAGTAAAACATATGTAGTGGCATTTTCCAATTCTATTCTTATTTATTTTATTTTGTTGAAAAGAAATTCTGGTCAATCATATAAATCTAAATGAGTCTGTATAAGGTGGGCAATAAAATGATTCGATGGCACATAATCAGTAATAAATAAGCATATTTTGGCAGATGGTGAAACATTAGCTACCGTGTTTCCCCAAAAATACGGCCAAACCCAGAAAACAAAACCTAGCCTGATTTTCACGCCTGCGCCTAAAATAAGCTCCACCCCCAAATAAGGCCTAGTTAAGCCCCGCCTACCATCTGGCTGTACAAGGTGGGGCAAGGCGCAGGTGTAAAAATAAAACTAGGGTGGGGGGGTGAAGGTGCCCCATGCATCCCACACCCGCTTACGTTGCCGCGATGGTGAAGCTTCTTGCGGCAGAAAGCCTCGAGCCTCATTTCATCACTCGTGGCAGAACACCGCGTGGCTCATTGTGCCAGTGGAGCTGCTCGCGGGAGAACGCTGCAAGACTCAAACTTGCCAAGGGAGCTGTTTGCGGCAGAATGCTGCAACGCTCATCTCACTGGGGCAGCTGTTAATGTCAGAACACTCGCTGCATTTTGCGAGCGGCTCCACCGGCAAGACGAGCCTCACAGCAAGCTTCGCAGTGTTCTGCTGCAAGTGGATCCACCGGCGAGACGAGCCTTGTGGCCTTCTGCAAGTGGCTCCACCAGTGAGACTAGGTAAGTGGGTGGGTGGGGCATCTCTACCTCCAAAATAAGACATCCCCAAAAATAAGCCGAAGTGCTTATTTTGGGGCCCAAAAGAAAATAAGACCGGGTCTTATTTTCAGGAGAACAACGGTATCTACAATTAGGAAGCTTCATGACAAAATGATTTGCTGAATAAATTCCAAGATTGGGTTTCATTCCCAATGTGAATGAAATGCAATGTGAAATGTAATTATCCAAAACAATTAATTATTTTCTGGCTGATTAATTTCTTAGAAATATCTGTTTAGAAACGTTAGAAAGGAAAAAACAGCTTTATGGTAGATGATTAAGGCAGAATTTTTCACTGAACTTACAGAATTGGCTGACACTTCTCTCACAATATAGCTATCAAGCTTAAATGTTCCACTAAGATTTTTTTATTGCTGTATGGTTCTGGAAATTGTTGACAATCACGTTCACATCAAGTTATTTATTTGACTGTGGTGAACTGAATAACCCACATTTATTTGGGTTTATAAACTACAATAACTGTTTGCTTCAACACACCAATCCACCAAGTTAGAAACAAAAAAAACTCACATTTTGGCTGAACCCAGCCAGTGTGTGAGTAACAGTTAAGAGGCAGAATTCTGAATCTGTCTTGGCTAAGGAGATTGAAGTACGTCATTCTCTTAGTGGCTGAGTTTGCCCAGCATGCTTAATTATGTGCATTTTCATAATATACCACGCTTGATTAGTTTAAACCTTAATTAATTTTTGTATGTACATGACTGCAAGCTTTGTGAACCCAACACATTTGTTTACTATTCCACATACTGTATGTGGCTCAAGAAAATGGGTTAATTTAGTAACACCTAAATCAGAAGAAGTTTGGTAAGACCTTTTCCAACTAACAAACTTTATTAAATGGCATACACTTTCATGAGTTGCATCTCACTTCATCAGGTACATCATCAAAACATCAAATAAATGGAATCATTACATTCCTTTATCTGATGCTACCAAAATTCTGATTTTTGATCACCACCGACTAATAGGGATCTCTTCCTTCAAAGTCTTTAATAACAAAGTTAATGTAATATTTGAACTCTTATCAGTGGTTTGATTGATACCCATAGCCACTTAATCTAATCTATTTAGGAGGAGGTGCATAAACACTACGCCCTCAAGCTTAATTTAGCTTTATGTAACCAAAATTAAGATGTGCAAATGCAATTCCTAGCCTCGTGCTTCAACGGATTTCACTATGATGTCCTTAACACCAGTGTCAGTCTATTCTTCCTGTTAGAGGATACTTGTGTTGGATGAAATGGGTGCAATTACATTGCTTTAATTATAATCAATAAATTTAATAATAAAGAAAACAAAGGTTTAATCTTCTACTCATATGTTAGTTTGGAAGTTGAAGCTTCACCTGGCAAACGTGACAAAGATGTTCAGAATCTTCAGAGGTTCTGTTTATTTTCTTGGAAGTGAAATCATACAATAAAAGCCCCTTCTATTTTCCCTGATGTCTCGATTAGCATGGTGTGGACAGTCTGGTCACTTTAATGCTTTCTTAACAATCGTTTTTCCAGTAACCTAATGTTTTATTTCTCCTCTGCTCCTTATCTCCTTAATTGCCTTAACTTAGAGGGTTTTTTTCCCCTCATTAGTCTCTCTATTCATTCTCACGATTCACCCCCACCAACTGGC